ATGTGTAGCTATACTCTTGACTCTATGGAGGGTGGGGGGCGGGGGGCGGGGGGCAGGGGGGGCAGGGGTGCAATGGATGCCATCCTATGCTAGAACTTGCACTAGAATTGCTCAACCACGTGGTTGACCATAATTATTCAACTTTATGGTTAACACTGCACTAGAATAGCTCTATCTTATAATGGACTTTACATTGGAATTGCTACATCACTAACAAAGCTCTTTTATAAAATTGTCTCCTCTAGCCTATTTACATTTTATCTAGTCATGGAGCAACCTCTTTTACACTCTCAGCAGGAATAACATTAGGGGTGGACATGAACTCAAGATCTGGTGTCTCTATTTTATAAGACAATGTCTCTTCACCGGCTATAGTGTGGTGAAGAGAAGAAGCAAAAGAACATAAACAAGTAAGGTAAATGAATTTGAGTGGTTTTGGCTTATTACGTAATGCTAGTATAAAGATTTCCAATCACTACAATGATTACAATGAGTGATAAATATCACTTGCAAATTGCTAACTCAAAGGAACTTTGCAGAAGGCTTGCTTTAGCTCTATCGCTCCACAGATGCCATAAGGCCATACTCCACATCCAACGAATTAGGCTTCATATTTGTCGTTTTGAATTCCCTAGTTAAACTCCACCATGTGAGTGTGGCTCGACACTACTGAGGAAGCCACAAGGGCATATGACCGAGTAGCAGTGGGATTCAAGGGAATTCATGTACATCTAAACTTTCCCAAGGACTTGAAAGAGCAATTTAAAATGTTCTTAGGAGGGGACAAGATGAATTTGCTGCAAGGGATATTTCCTTGTTCCAGGTATAGAGTCCCTTGGAATATCTGGCCTAGGTAGAGAGTTTCTATCTCTTTGATGTTTTGACTAATATGGTTTCCTTGCCTGTGTGTTGACTGAACATTTGATTTTCTTTGTTATGAGAAAAAACAAATTCTAGTCATCAGCTATGGTTACATGAAAAGTCAACACTTCTCACACACAGCAACACCTTAAACACGTGTCAAACTCGCATCTTACCATGCTCTATGTGCCACCCTCTAGCAAACATTAGGGATTTTCTTACTATAACCTTATTGTTTTAGGCTTGCCTTTGTTATTATTGTAGATATGATGAAAAGAAGGTTTACTTAATTTATATTTTGGTATTTAACATAAATATATTAATAAAAAAAGTGTTTTAATCATAAACCATAAAATATATAGCTTAAATTTTTTTTTTCTTATTTAATAACAAAATACCACAAAAAATAAAACTCAAAATAAACTAAGTGTTATAGTAAATTGTTTATATATTTTAAGAGAAATTTTTTCCTTAAAATAAATTTTAAAAAAAATCTAAATTTTTATTTTATTGTTTAATTAAGGTTTATATTTTACATTGGTCATAAAGAAGAAATATAAGTTATGTCTATTAGTTTCAGTTGACCAAAAAGGTTTATCAGGATAACTTGGGATATAAAACTAAATTACAATCATTTTGAAGGCTCAAAAATGTTAGAAATATACAATTAAAATTCCTTTTACAAAATAAGTTCCTTTTCTACTCTGTATTATATAATGATAAAAATAAAATAAAATTTCTTTTAATTTAATTCTGCAAATAGCATTTTAAATTGATTTTTTTTAATTTTAATTTTTTTAAATTCTGTTTTTTCCAGAATAAATTACAAGATTACATCTTACATTTATTAGTAAAATATTAATATTATTTGGAGATATTAAAAATTATCTTGGATTAATGTATGTACCACTTATAATTATACTTTTATAAATATTACAATCATCTATTTATTTTAGTTTATTAACTGATCCAACAAAATAATATTCAGGTTCTGATATACCATCTGGGTCATAATAAATTTTAAAATTTTTAAATGTAAGTTTTATGGAACTTGCTGCAGTTAATAAAATGTTATTAAATTATTTTCAAAATAATCTTCCAAAACCTTCATATAAAGAATTCCCCAAAGTATAAATTTGCTCCACTTGATGCATAATTAAGGGCATTTCTTGAATAACGTGAAATTTTGATTAAAATGATTCCACTAGCTAAAATTACTGATATTCCTTTAAATTAATTTAAAGGATAGTTATCATTTCAATCAATAAAACCTATTGATTCATCAATAACGTCAACAATATTACTCATATCCACACTATTTAGAAAATCAAATTCTGGATCATCACCATATGTTACTGTCAAAAATAATATTTCTACATAGCTGATAATAATGTTTTTAGCCATATTTATTAATTAGGAAATGACTATAATATATTTAAGAGTTTAAATTTTATTTATAAAAGTATTTTTCTTGTTTTTTTAAATTATTATTTGGATTTTGTTTATTTTAAATAATATAAAGTATTAAAAATTATAAAGTCCTGGTCTGCTCCAATATTAGCACAACAACTCTCTTTTTCCATGAACAATTTCCATGCACTCTCTTTTTCCAGATTGTGATGCTGAATTCACCACGTCCCAGCTTGCGCCCCAGCCTTGATCGAGCTTCTGGTCTGCTGCCTCTTGTATCAAAAGCTCCAAAAGGACCAAATATTTGCATGGCCTGACCTTGTGTTTTACAAAATCAATGTTTTACTCAACGCTCAGGCTGACTGCATTGTGGGAATTCTAGCGGCTTTCACGCGTCCTTGAAAAGCATTTGCCTTCAAATCAGAATCTGGACCGTGCAAAATAACAAATCAAGATTATATATTTTCAAGCTCCCTGATTTGGATTGAAAAATGCAACAGTCCATCCACACTGCCTTCCTTTCAAGCTGCTGAACCTATTAGTAGAACTAACGCCAATCAAAAGGTTACACTTATCGTCCCCGTGAAGGTCGCCAGAGATAAGCTTTGTTTGCCATGACTTGTCGACTCGGTTGTACTTTGCCCGCATTTTCACGTTGATCCTCATCGGAATTTGGCCGGAGTCTAGATCGCCCTTCAGTTTTGTGGCAAGATCAAGAGGAATGGTGAGGTTGAAAAGTTGGAGAGGCGCTTCAAAATGTGTGATGTTTCGAGGTGGCTGGACAAACGGAGATGCGTAGGCTCTTCCCAGCTCGTAGCCGCGATAGACAGCAGCGATTCGCAAGTGCCAGAAATGGACCCCCATTTTCTTGTTTGCATTGCGAGACCAGACCTTGAAAGTTAGAGATGCCGAGTCGATCCTGGATCCTTGTGAGCTTGAGTTGCTTGCGCTAAGATTCGAGAGGACTGCGTCCTCCAGGATGTGGTGGACTTTTGAGCGGTTTACGACTGCACTGACTGAGCTAAAGAAGATGATCACAAACAACATCGAGAAGAAGAGGCAGCAGCAGAAGCAGCAGCAGAAGCACTTGCATGACGACATTTTACCTACGATTATGAAGCTCAAGTGGAATCGAGGGAGGTTTCAGATCTCATATGGGATGGTTTAGAGTGTACGTTTTCAACGTTGAAATTTGTGTAGCGCATGATCTTCCTGGAAGTAGCTTGCACGACCATCACACGGTTTGAAAGATGATTTTGTCAAAGTACTTCATGGTATCATTTTAGTTCCACTGTTGGTTTCGAAAAGAAGAAGCAAAGCTTTACAAGATAGAAAGAAAGAAAGAAAAGTAGAGATAAATCAAACCAACTACTTTATAATACTTAGCTGGTTTTCTTATTCTTGATTGAGAGCTCTGAGAGACCTTTCAGTCTCTCACGCACCTCTTGCTGCCGTCGTCCCAGGACCATCCAACATAGCATTTGACACAATCGTATCCACTCCAGTGCCACCCATAGTCGTAGTCGCATCTCACACATCTGCTACCATTCCAGTGCCATCCACCGTCTTCGTCGCAATTCTGTGACACGCAACTGTGTCCATTCCAATGCTGGCCACCGTCGCAGGAGCACACAGATCCTCTCCAGTGCCGGCCGCCATCGCAAGAATTATCATCATCAGCAGCAGCAACATTACATTCCATTGCGACATAAAACGCCACACACAAAACGCTTGCGACTACAAAACCAAGCTTGAGACCCATCGCTTCTACCTCCAACTGATTATACATTGTGCTTATATACTAGGGAATACTCTTGGGTAAGACCTTAGTGAGGCTCATCTCTTTGTTTATTGTGTTTACATGGTCGTGTAGTGCCCACCAAGAAGGATAAGATTGGAATTCACCAGGTCCAACGTTTATATTGTTAGCATCTATGTGAATCTTCCGGACAAAGAAGATTTCTCCAACTTACCAAGTCTAACGGACGTCAACTTGTTACAGTATTGCTTTCGCTGGCCACAGTAAAATCCCTGCAACTGATTTTGACTAATATTCGATTTAGTGTAATACCAAACAAAGACAGTGTCAAAACTATGTATTTGGCTCTAATCCTTTTTCTTCTCTTTAAACAGTTGCATGAGCAGCGCAAAGAGCATGGACATGAGAATGTATCCCCATCTGGGGCCTTCGGAGGAATTTGAAGCTCCAGCGCCATAAGTGTCGAAGTGATTATAGTTTGGTGTGGATGAAAGCTTTGGTAAGTTTGCTGTGTTGGTTTGAGACGAGGATCTTGGATGGATGATCATCGCAGCAACAAAGATGATGAGAGGCAGCAGTATAGCCCAAACGGAGAATGTTGTCAAGCCATCTTTCAAGCCCGGGATGCCTTTGCCTTTGAAGAGAAACAGAATGGAGAGAAGTAGCAGTGGAACCAAAGGCGATGGAGGAGATGTGGCGGCGATGGCCATTCTATAAACTCCACAGTCAAATCATCAAAGCACATTAAAAGAAGTGGTGATTCTCATCACTTACCGCTCGAAACTTTTGTAATCCCCCTTTTGAAACTCGAGAGATCATAAGATCCCAAATCACGAAGTTTTGTCATCCACTGTTCGTTGTCGCGTAATCTGACCACAGCACAGAAACTCTAGAGTTTTGCCTTTTCAAAGAAACGAAAAGAAAAACTTGACCCGCGAATTCTTCTAGCTTTTTTTCTACTCAGCACGAGCGACTTCGAACTGGCAAAAGTTCTCTAGCCACAATCGCCCAAGTGAATTTAAGACTAGATCTCATGAACAACGAATGCATAGAACGATGACGAACCAATTGGAAGAGAAAGCACGCCATGAAGAACAAATGGAATTTGATTACAACAATATACCTGGCCTGGCTACAAAAAATGTGGCAGTAGGAGTGTGGAAGTAGTGTCATTCCTCGTCCAAGAGAATGGGATTTATCAAGGGATTCATCTGTGCAATATACACAATCGCCCATCTGGAAAAAAGATAAAAGATAAAAAAGAGTATCAGTCTGCTAGAGAGAGAGAGAAAGAGAGATCTTACAGCATCCAGCACGAGACCACAGCGGTGATCACCAAAGTTACATGTAGCCTGCCAATTTCCCACGGGAAACCAGAGAAAACCTAAGATCCAGCGATCGCATCTATAGATTTCTACTCACAAATTCATGGATGGCCCTTTGTTGTAGAAGAATGTGAATCCCAGGCAGCCCAGCAGCGCAGCGCCGAAGAAGAGGATCGTCGTTACCATAAATCCCATGGCGCTCACAACAAACCCTAGTTCTTTCCCGCCAAGCGTGAGCTACAAGATACTCAAATTTAGGGCTCTTACGCAAGGGCAGGGCATTGGCCGCGCTAGGCTGCCAATGCGGCGCTCGCTCAGCGTAATCCAGCTCTAGAGATCCAGTAGGCGCAGATTGGAGCATAGATCTAAGCGCATCGATGGGGGATTCTCGCGGCCGATTTGTTGTCAGGCCGCTGGCGGCGCAGTCGTTCTTGGCGGATCTCGAGGTAGCTCCAGGGAAGATTTACACTGTGGGGCGATCGAGCTGCTGCGATCTCGTGTTCAAGGATGGGAGGGTCAGTCGCCGGCATTGCCAGATTTTCGTGGATGCCGGAAATTCTCTCGTCTTGCACCATGGAGTCGAGAAAGGGGCAGATATTTGCCTGAGATCGTCCGTGGTCTACGTCAACAGTGAAAGGATTTCTCTCGGGAGCTCCAGGGTTCTTGTTCCAGGGGATAGAGTGTTCTTGGTAGCTCCGGTTAAGGATTCTATCCAGGATACAGGGTTTACAGTGGAGAATGCTGGCGAGAGTAGTGATGCTATAAGGAGCTCTTTGGAGGAACTAGAGATGAATGTCCAGCGGCGCCAGGTAAAATCCAAGGCTGATCATCTCGGGCCAAGTCTCAACTGTAAGGTGAAGAGGGTGAAAGCTTCGGTGGAGAAGCTGATTGATAAGAGCCGGCAGCTACGATCAGAGTGCTTTACCAGGAACTCTAGCCTGGAAAATCGAGCTTTCGTCGGGAAGGAAAGGGATCTCGAAGAAGTTGAACAGATTGGAGGCGACACAAAGGTGGCTAGTTGTGATTCTTTTCCAAAATCAAGTGGACTGTGCATGAATAAACTGGAGGATGTACAGCCCTCCAGAACAGACGTGTCAGTGGCAGATCTTCTGGCGCCATTGGAAGACATTCGAGAAATGTTTGTGGCATCGTTTACTACTGACATTATTTGGTGAGTTTATTTGTTTTCTGTTCTTCTTTCTCTTTGTCTAATCTCCGCAAGTGTTTTTTTGCAGGTTTATCTCGTCCTTCGGGCTTCCAAAGACATTACCTGTGACTATAGCTTGTCACGACAGCGAACGAAGCTGGAGCACCGCCATAAGCGACCGCATGGAGCATCCATATTGTGAGTGGCCGAATTTGAAAGTAGTGTAAGTTTCTCGTATCTCATGTTCCAGGCGAAGTATCTACATGTTTCTATGCAGGTATCCGCCTTTCCCTGTTTTGCGACGAACAAATGATAAATCCAGGATGCGTGGTGTTGGCTGCCATCATCCCAAGTTTTTTCTCTTAAAGCGTTCAAAAGATATTCGAGTTATAGTGACGTCCTCCAACTTGAATTACAGACAGGTATTTCGTTTTCATATTCTCCTTTGGAGTTTGCTAACTCTTTTTTTTCTCACAGTGGCTGCAAGTCTCTAACACGGTTTGGTGGCAAGATTTTCCCCTTCGCAACACAAGAGACTATTCCTCTCTATTTTCGTCCAAGATTACCGATGGCGGAGAAAGAAATGGAGATTTTGCAGCTTACTTGGCTGGCTTCATTTCCACTTTGGTGAAAGACGTTCCTAGCGAAGCTCATTGGGCAACCGACTTGGCTTGCTACAATTTTTCGAAGGCAACGGTGTCACTGGTTGCGTCAGTACCGGGATTGTGGGAGGAACTGTTGCCTTTCCCAGAGAGTATGAAGGTAAGCTTTTTATTTTGGTGTTTGTAAATCGTTCGGATTAAATTCCGAAGCAGGAGCTGGAGAAAAGCTACCTTGGCACCGTAGCAACAACAGTTGCGGGAATTAGCCATCAATTTTCCCCCAAATGCGATCCTAATGGACTGAGATTGCGAAAGCTCGCTGCTCTCTTGAACAGTTTGCCTCTTGATCCAGAAGGCATGGTGCACGTCCAACTGAAGCGAGCCAAAGACTTACCTGCTGATCCGAATGCAGTGGTGATTTCCGTGGTTCCACCAACTCAGCAGTTGCGCTTTCTCGAGCAAAGTATGTGTTAACTTCTGGTGTTCTGTTTTATGATTTACCGATAATAATTCTGTGTGTGTGATACAGGCGATATTGTATCACAAGCAGAGGAGCTGCCGATTGGATTCTTGCCAAAACGTGCAGCTGCATGGGTTTCAACGCTGTGTGACGCTGGTCTGTGTAGCTTGAGGGCCATGCTATGGCCCAAGCAAGTGCTTGGTGTGGCAGCTGGCCAAAGCAAAAGCGTATTACAGCTTAAACTTCATGTTTTTGAGGTAACCCGTGCTTTATATCGTACATTGTTGACAGTGTTTTTGTGTATCAGGGGTCTAAGTTCGGGGAGCTTCTTAGTAAAGACCAAGAGTCTGCAATGAGCAATCTCCTGCGCCATATTCAACGGAAATATGGCTTGCGGCGATTAAAGGAAGTTCTTGCCGAGCACAAGTGGCCAGATTCCGCTGAAGTCGATTTTGTGTATTGTAAGTGCTGCTTAAAACTTATCACTATAACTGATTGTCGAGGTCCTTGTAGGTTCCTCTTCCATTGGAACGTCCTTGAGCTCGAACTTTCTGGCATCATTCTCCGATGCTGCAGGCCGCAAGGCATCACTAGACGATTCGTGTGAGTCGGATCCGGAGGTAAGGTTTTGTTATTGTACGTGACTATCTTGCGATCTTTTCCTATTCAGTGGGGCCGCTGGACCGCGGAGCATGAGGCGGCCAATCCATCAATAAAAGTAGTTTTCCCGACCTTGGACCGGTTAAAAAGCGCGAAATGGGGCCCTTCTTCATACCGAGGAATTCTTTGCTTCGCAGAGGTACATAAATGTTTTTTGCCGAGCAAGCAAACATCACTTCTATCAACAACAGCGAACGTGGGAGAGAATAAAATCGACGAGCGCTGTCAACTTGCACGACGCAATTCCATGTCCACCTAGTCGAGAAGGAATCCCAATGCATGTAAAGGTACTATAAGTTCTAAGTGGCAAAGAATGCTATCTGTTCAACCTTGCAGGTAGCACAGAGACGATTTAAATCGCCCACATCAAGCCAAGCATTTGGCTGGATTTATACAGGCTCACACAACTTTAGCCCCGCCGCGTGGGGCAAATACATCAACAAGGCGGCGAGAAACGACGACGAGTACCAGCCACCTTGCACTCGACTACACATTTGTAACTACGAGCTCGGGATAATATTCATAGATCCGCCACCAACATACCAGGACGATGGTGATTCCAACACAACGAAACAACAAAACCATGGTGGAATCCATAGTTTTACACTGCCGTTTCGAGTACCGGCACCAAAGTACAGCTCTTTAGACAGGCCTGCGACAGGCAGCGCAATCTTCCAACTTGTACAACAATTAGGAGAAGGGCAGCGATCCGTCCTAAACGAGGCTGGAGAGCACGAAGGCGTGTCACTGTCGGACGTGGAGATTGATACACAGGAGCCGGAAGAGGACGATGCATCCTCGAGCGCGTGCTTATAAGCCAGGTACTTAGTTCCCTAGTAGTTTGGAAAGTAGAATTGGTTCTAACAAGTTTCGCGACTACAGGCCACGAGGACGAGATTTCTTGGCGTGCTTCTCAGGCGACGAGGACGAGATCTCCCCCGGTGGAGCGCGTGCTTACAAGCAAGGTACTTCTCTAGCACTTTATAGTTGGTTCTAACTAGTTCACTTCTAACCACCTACACTGTTTGTATCAAAAACAGTTTACAAAGCCAGTCCATCGCTGCCACCTCGCCATCAGCCGTTAAGCTAGTTTGCCACATCATCTCTTGGTTCTTGGCACTTCGATCTCGGGCTTTCTAGCGTCACAAGAGGTATGTGATGGGCAGTCCAGTAGCAGACCCCTTTTGATCGCCGCTGGCATTGTTATCCTTTGCAAGAAAGATGGGGAGAGAAATGGAGGAGCTTGGCTTGCCGGTCGAGGTCCGCGACTACCTCCAGTCGGTCTCCAACGCCGAGGTCGCCCTCTTCGTGGCGGACAAGCGCCCCGCCAGCGTCCGCGAGGCCCAAGACATGGTAGCCGAGCTCGGGGCGCCGCCGGTGAACAAGACTTTCATGATATCCTACGGCGACTCCAACGACTATGGCCTTTGGGCCCGCGGCACGGTCAACGGTCGCCCGGCGTCCTTCATGCCCAACTACGGCTCCGACGCCTTGGTCTCGGTCAGCGCGGTCAACCGCCTAGGGTTGACCACCACCCTGTGCCGCCCATTCCGCGTTGACGGGTCGCCCGTGGTCCACAACCGCAAGGTGAGCGACCTAGTGTTCGAGCTGGATGGCGGGTACAAAGGCTGCATGGATTTCTACGTAGTGGATGGTGGGCGCAACGATTTCGTGTTTGGCAACCGCGATATGACCAAGTTGGGCACCGGGTGCTCGGTTTACTACGGGCGCATGCTGGTGGAGCTAAGGGGTGGAGACGGGACTTTTACCTCGCCCCTCTACGAGGGCCGTCCTGGGTTCCACTAGGTGGGGAGCGATCTTCATTCTCACAAGCTCATTTTCATTTTCAGCAATGTGTTACTAGGTAGGAACCAAGTGGTAACCATTCACTCACAGAACTCCTGTTCTTATTCTCGGTTCATTTTTAAAGAAAAGCCCATCGTTTTCATTCTCACCAATGTGACTCTTTCTTTCCTTTTTGTTTTGTGCTGAAAATCCACATTTTCCAACCCAAGACTTTTCTTTATACTATTCACTATGACTTTGCCCAATGCCAGGACCCTTCGGAGCACGCTGAAAAGTACAAACAACGCGTTCTGCTTTTCATTTCTAGGAGTGAAGCTCGTATAGTTTGTTCATGAGCAATTTTTGCTTTAACAGCTATCTTATCACAAGATGTCTTTCGATCCCACGTCCGTGTTGCCAGCGGTCATTGCCGTGCCTATCAACGAAGCTTTCAAGCTCCTCATATCCGGGGCCTCCAAGTACTGGAATTTCCCAAGCGCGTCCAAGGCTGCAATTACCGAGTACACGCCTATCTACAATCTTGCACTTATGCGTATTGCGGCCGTACAAGATCATGCTTCGGATGAATATCAAACACTCACTCGTTTTTGCGATTGTTTCAATGAAATGGAGCAGCATATCAAGAACGTCCACTCAGCTCATCCCAGGTAACATCCTCATCTGGAAAAATTCTGGAACACTAAACATCACTCTATTGTAGATACATCAGGGAGATTTTCCGCTTCTTCGGCGCCAGATCTAAACTCGACAGCTTGATGCCTATCTTAAACGCCCAGCAAGTTCTCGAGCGGCCTTTGCCTCTAGTCCACTCTCAGAAAATCCAGGCTTTGGGCTCTCGGCCGCCCCATGAGTTTCACTATCGCTGCCAGCCCCCAAGTCTTCCTCCAGGCATAAACTACTTGATTGTTGGAAGAGACGAGGAGTTTTCCAGGTTCAAGTCACTGCTTCTGGACGAGGGAAGGCCAGAGAGGATTGGCTTGTTTGGCCCGAGCGGCGTTGGGAAGACGTTCCTGGTGACTCATCTGTGTCGCGACGGGGAGATCGCCAGTCATTTTGATGGCATCATCTGGATCAGTTTTGATTACAGAGAGCGCTTCGATACGTTGGTCACTATGCAAGCAGACATACTTTCTCGGTTGACAGGGAACGATCGGAGGGTAGCATCGGTTGCGAATGGAAGCAGGGAGATTTTCAACTTTATAACCAGGAGCAGCCTCAAGAGATACATGCTTGTTCTGGACAATGTATGGAAAAAGAACTGGCTGCATCTTTTAGATCAGGAAGGTGACATGGGGAGGGGGAACAAGGTGGTGGCCATCGCCAGCAATGCCAAGCTATTTCCAGAGGATAGGTGGACTAGTGTCAAGTTGGATCCTTTGTCTTTTGATGATGGCTACAAACTCATTTGCATGCAAGCGTTTGGAGGAGAAGACCAGGTCCCAGACACCCTTGATAGAGATTATGTGGAGAAGGTGGTTTGGCTGTGCAATGGAGTTCCCAAGGCTCTTCAGGTGATGGGCAGATATATGAGAAGAAACAAGGATCGTCCTTGGTTTTATTGGCAGCGTCTTCTTGAGAAGATCAACAGGTGGGAACTGGATGAATGGAAGGGCATATTTGAAATGGTGAAACTGAGTTTTATGGAGCTGGACGAAGATGCGCAGCTGCTCTTTTTGTCCCTCGCCCTGTTAAGAGATCCCTGGGATGAATCGAGCTTATTTCACCTGTGGCGAGCAATGAGGTGCTCAGAAGACGATAACCTTTGTTTTGAGTTGCATAAATTCAACGATGCCATCTGCAGGCTAGAAGATGCATCGTTTGGGCAGCGGCAGTGGGGCGATCAAATCGTTGTCGACGATCTTATGATGAGTTTTGCTGACTACATCATAGACATCGAGCCATTATTTTTTACCACTTTAAAGATTTGCAGAGACACTCAAGGATATCTAGTTTTAAGTCAACCCAATGCTGAACAGATTGTGCTTGTCAATAAGACTACTTCCCAGCCTCTCATTGAAACTCCATCGCTTAGGTTCCTGCGTTGTCATGTGGCAACTTTCACGGAATCTTTTCTGGGGAAACTTCTGGAGCTCAGGTACTTACACTTGGAGTCATGGTGTAGTGGCTTGTGGAATGCTCTTCGGAAGCTTTCTAAGCTAGAGGCACTCAGAATAGTACTACGGGGCAGAGAAGCGGATGCCGTTATTGATCTCAGCTTTCTGCATGGGATGCATAACCTGAGCGAATTATACATTTACTATTACAAACTTTCAGTGGTAAACTTTGAGTTTGTGAGGAAATTAAGAAAGCTGAAGGTTTTACGACTTGAAGATAAACATTTGAATGTCAAATACGACGGGAAACTCAGGTGTCCTAAAGAAGATCTTATTCTCTCCAAAAACGCACTGGAATTATTCAAAACTTTCAGTGGGTCTAAGATGCTAACAATGCTACATCTTGGAGCTATTATTCTTACAGAGCTGCCGTGCCATATCAACTTTCCACGTCTCACTAGCTTGCAAATCATGGTTGCGTCAAAATCCCTACCACCCAGCTTTGAAGAGCTTCAGAACTTGGAGAGCCTGGAATTAGACGGTTGTGGAGTGCTGGAAGAAGTGCCACGGTTGGGCAGGCTTTGCAACCTCCGGCAGCTTAAAATTTCGGGCTGTCCTACAATGGAACGCATTCCTGACTCTGCTCTTCAAGATGGTTTAGTATCCTTCCCACGGCTTGAGCGCCTCAGCATTTCAGACTGTCCAAAGCTGGCTCAGCTTCCCCACGTACAATCCACGAGACCGCTTGTTGTCCACCTGGATTCACCACTACCAGCTTTAAGACAAATCGACGAGCAGTTATTCATTGATTATCTTATTATTGATAACTGTGGGTTGATCCAAGAGGTTTATGTTGGAAAAAGCTTGCGCCGAGATCTTTCTTTCTCCACGCGTGAGAGCATAGACGACATTCCAGTGATAGGCAACCTTACACTGGGGGAACGGACATCCATCTTCATCTTCAATTTGATTGATTTCTCTACCTCGATGATGCTGCACATTATGGAGTGTGAGAAGCTGCTGCTACAAAAGCTTCCCAAAGCTCTTCCTATGCTTCGTAAGCTCTCATTGGACAAGGTGACATCTTTGGTGGAGATTAATGACATGTTCTTGCCAAGACTGGAACGACTGACGATCTTACATTGTGAGATGCTGCACAGCATTTCAGCTAGATTGCCATCACTCAAAGAGCTTGTGCTGCAGAACTTACCATATTTGTCAAGAATTAATATGCAATCTGATCCAGAGGCAGTTTCAGATCCGGACAAGCTGCACAGCGTTCCAGCTCTTCCTTCTACAGTCACGAGGATTGAACTGGTGGCATTACTATCTTTGGTGGAGATTGGTGCCATTATGCCGTCCAAAAATCTCGAAATGATCATAGTATCGGATTGTGAGAAGCTGCGCAGCCTCCCAGCTCAATCTCTCAATGCCACCACGGCAGATCATGCAAAAGGCTATCGGCTTGTCTTAAAGAACTTGCCATCTCTAGTCGAGATTGGACAAGGTTACAGCATGTCAAGGGTGAGTATCTTGCACTGCGAGAAGTTGCACAGGGTTCCCTCCATTTCTGGGATGACGGAACTTCGACTAAAGAGTTTGCCATTTCTGGTCGATATCGAGGAAAGCTGTGCGGTAAAATTGTACATTTCGGACTGTCAGCAGCTGCAAAGAGTTCCTCCCATGCACGGACTTGAACGCCTTTCGCTGAAGAATCTACCATCCTTGATCCAGATTGACAGAGGTTCTCTATCCACAATCACACACTTGAAGATCTCGGGCTGTGAAAAACTAGACGAAGCAGAACAGATTGTGCAAGAGTGGGAAGAAAGTGACGACGATGATGGATTTCAAGGTCTGACAAGGAATATTTGATATCTAAGGAGATAAAGAACAATCCATTTTGATTGCAATACAGGTTGAAAGATGTTCCTAACTTACAAATCAATCGAAAACAATCAGAGCCGAGAAAATCAAGAAACTCTGACCAGCTCTCCGCAGATTTCTAAACGCTGTCCTTAAGGAAAATCCAATTATTTGCGGAAGTTTTGTAGTCGCCACTTCCTCACAACCGGCCTCACATCCTCGACCTTCGCAAGCCCGAGCAAAAACGGGACGAGGTCCAGCAGCTCGCGATCATCGGGGTTGTCCCAGAAGCTCGAAACGCGCACCCAGTTATCCAGGTTCCACACACACTTGGACTCGGAGTCGTCCACAATCACCACCCTCTCCATCCCCCGCCCCAGCATCGACAAATCCTTGACGTGCCCAACTTCGCTGCTCCAGCTGCAATGCTCGGTATACAATCTGTGCGCAAACAATCTTCCCTCGGGGTCGAGCTCGTCCAGGATCGGATCCGCGATGCGCCGGTCGCACGACGTGAAGACGACGATCTCGTAGACACGGGCCACTTGGCGGAGGAAATCGTCGACAAAGGGGCGCTTGAGAGTGAGAAGTGTGCCATCGGATCCACGGACTTTGGAAACGAAGTCGTACCTCTGGTCGGGGCTTGTGACGCTCGAGACGAGCGTGTGATTCATGTCGAGAACTAGGGTTGGCTTGCCTTCGTGCTCGGGGCGCTGATCGGGTGGGATGAGACATGGCCGCGGCTCGGAAGCTCTCGCCAATACCATTCTCTCTTCTTCTCCAAAACCCTAAAAAACCCAAGACCTTTAATAGTGGGGGTTTTTAGGGTTTATGGCGATTCGCTTCTCTGGCTCGTCCTCGGAGGTGCTGCGCGTCTTCAACCGGGCGGTGGATTTGCTGGCGAGCAGCGCGCCCGACAGCGACCAGGAGCTGCTGGAGATGGTGAGGAAGGCCAAGAAGGAGCAGGAGAGCAACATCTTCCATCCGCCCAAGAAATTGCGCACTGGTAAGACATTTGATAGAGGGATTGATTGATCGACGTCCTATGGCAGCGCGCGCGGCTGGAGATAGCGATTCCACTGCTCCTGCTGCTCCTGCTACTGCTGCGGCGTCCAAATTGGGAGCATCGTCTCGCCCATCTGACCAGCAACAGGTGGAATTCTACTCCCTCTCTCTCACACTCACAAAGTTCTTGGATCCAGGCCTCTAACCCGCCTCCAAAACCGAGTGGATTGGTGCGATTGGGCTCCAACGCCGGCGTCGCAAGGGGGCGCGTCGAGAAACCCAAGCGCAAGCCAGGACGGTAATGCCCAAGAGCCCTAAATCTGCGAATATGCTGGATGATGCTTATTTAAAAAGCTCACAGAATATCCTTGTAACGGCACTCGAATATTACGTTAGAATGTTAGGGTTTATGGCCGATGGCGGACGATATTTTGGAATTCGTGCGCCATCGCGTGTTCCCCGAGCGCCTGCGCGCCATCGATGCGTCCGTGAAGCTGCCATTCGCTCCCTCGCTTCTACTTGCAGCGTGCGATGATCCGGAGCAGCGGCATTGTGTGCTGGGGAATTTGGAAGATCACAGGTGCGTTTCGCGAGCGCTCGAGTATGCGCGGCTGGATTACGGGGAGATCTCGTGTAATATCGGTGCCGGAGCCGAGAATGCCGCGCCTATGGACGAAGATGGATTGCTCGATGGCGGGGAAAGTCCGGACGAATGCCTGGCGTTTGAGCAGGCTACTGAGGTAATCTTCTAAGTTTTAAAGGATGTCTTCCTTCTTTTTGATGGATCGTCTCTTTTTTTATAGAAAGGGCGCGTTGAGCTTGTTATAACATCCTTGCTAGGAAGAGCTTCAAAAGCAACCTCGAATTCCAGCATGGGCAGTATTTGGAATAACACGGCATATCTATCCGAGCTAAGGTTGCTTCTTCCAATCGCTGTTTCACGTTGTCCAGCAATTTTCACTCCAGGTTGAATTTTTTTCTTCTTCTCTCGCTCACATTCAATGTTTTTTTTTTTCTGCAGAGCTACTCGTCAAAAGCTTGCTGACTGCTGCCTGTGGCATAGAGCTTCTTGTCACAACGCTCGCAAACAATCCATCGCTGGTCGAGCGAGCTCCAACACTCCTGGTGGACCTCGTGAAACGGGAGTTAGATCAAGAGTCAGCCCGTGAAAAGTCGCCTGCTGAGCCTCGTTTAAAGCCGTCACGCGAGATGGAAGCCGCTGTGTGGACGCTGTTCAAGCTTTGTCAGGTCTCTCGTTCGTTCGCCTCGACTTGCAGAGACGCGATGGTGGAGGCAATGGTTCTCGAGGAGCTGGCATTACTGGTGACTCTGGAGGTTTTACACGACGAGTTCGAGTTCCTATCAGAAGTTCTGTTCAAGAGCTTTACACTTGGTGGAACGGTACATAGCTTATTGCCATGGTTGGCGCAGTATCTATCGTCGAGAGAGAAAAGTTTGCTGCCACTTCCGCGTATGACCGACAAGGAGGGTCTCTCGACGCCATCCGAAAGATTTGTTAACAAGGAATGGGTGACTTGCGAGCTCAGGAAGGCCTTGCTGAGGCATGCGAGGAGGATAAAACAGAAAAAAGGATGGTGTCCTGAGCTATATGCACACTTGAAGATATATTGTGTCTTGATTCGAGTTGGAGACATCTCGCCATCGTTTGAAGAGGTACTCAAGTTTTCTTTCTTGTTTTGGTTCTGGCTTAATCTTTCGCCATGGCTGCAGAGTGATTTCTGGTTGAAAACAATTGCGCAAGACAAAACAAAGCCACCCTGTTGTTCGCAACGTATTCTCGAACTTGGAGTTGCATATTTATGTTTGGTACCAGGTCTAGCTGGAAGCCCAACGAGACTGCTGTACCATGGATGTGTGTCGTACTTGCTCTCACCCGTGAAGCAAGACAGCGGTTTTTCATCGACTGTGGAGCTTGCCATATGGTTGTCGGTGCAGCTATTTCTACGAAACTTGAACAACATAGCCCAGGTAAATCCAGTACGCGCGTCTTTTCTATTCTATGCTCTTACTGTGTGGCAGTTTGTTAGGGAGTCACTTGGAATCCACGTGACAGTGCACCATGGTTTGATGCATGATTTTGCGTCGGCTGCTGGAATAACGTCCGACCCGTCGCTGATTGCAAATGCCGTTGCTGCACTTCGGCCTCAAGGTGCTCTTGCTGGGAACGTGTAATCAAATCACCATTTACCTTTCTCATTGACTGACTTTTGATTCTTGCAGGAAACAACAGAGTCGTGCACTAATGTGTCTCACGCAACTACTTCACGCGGGTACGTTCAGTCGGTGCTTCACGGACATCCTAGGTGCAGTAATACACAGTATTTCAAGAGCACGCGAGCCTGTTTGTCGTGTAAGTTGGCCTCTAGAGTCTTTATTTTTCTTTTCTTTTTTGTCTTACAAGCTTTGCGTCGATTCTAGGAGGTAGTGCACTTGATCCAATCTTATATGGATTTACCGGTTCAACAAGGAAATGCCAAAGGCCCTATATTCAAAGCGGTCGAGCTGGAGACGTTCTTATTGGATGCCATATCTCCTGGCAGCTTGTCTTTTTATAACAACTGTTCGGATGATGGTGAGATTCTTTTCCAGATTATTCATGTCATTAGCTCGCTCTCTTGCAAATAGGTCTGGGGGAAGCTGTCGATCAGGCGCCGGCAGTTCTCGCGACATACTTCATTCTCTGCAGAGAACACCTCCTCAGAAGTTTGGGTGTTGACGACGATGTAAAATGGTGGCCGGATTTGGTCTCAGGTACACCTTGGAGGCTGGTGCTCTCGTACATGGAGAAGTTCTCGTCGCAATACGAAAATCTTCTTCCTCAGGTAAGAAATCACCAAGTCAAATTCATGCTAGAAGCCTTTAACGTTTGTATCTGCTGCTCCTAGTGGCTCGCTCTCGCAACTGCACTCTTCCCTGAAAAGTTCATCGTACTCAACCATCTTGACCAAATGGAAGCAACGGACAGACTTATTGATACGGTAGGCGTCGACGTCGCAATGACCGACGAACATGCGGCAGACAGGGACTCTTTATCAGTGGACGCAATTCAATCGGCAAGAAAGAAGGCTCCAAGCGAACCACAACTTATTCTCCGTGTTCTGGACGGAATGCGTCGGCGAGCTTCTAGCTATGACTGGAAGTTGACAGACGTGGTTGGAAAGCCCAGCTACTGGACGCTAGAGAGCACTCTTATCAAGGAATTGCTGCCGTTTTTATTGGACCCAACGTGCCCGCATGACGTACAGGCAAAGTTTTGTAGCTGGTGGTACGCTTTGCCAGATGCTGCGAAGGAGCCTCTGATCATAGTCTTCTTCAAAGCGATTAAGGTCTCTGGCTCGGCCTATACTGGTCTCTTGAAGGAAGACGCGCTACTGAGCTACAGAACTTTGGTCCGGGATCCCTTGCTTTTCTTATCGTGCGACCCGAGGCTTTTTCGTACGCCGATGCTAGCGTTTTACTTGGACACGCTAATGGAGATCCTGATAGTGAACAGGAGGCTGTGCGAGGCATCGATATTGGAGTCTGGGAAAGATGGCCTGAGGCGTGAAGAAATCGCCACGGCACTCGTTTCTCAATACAGGTATAGTTTATAGTTTTCAATTTTCTTTCTCGAGAGAGTAATTTTGTGTGCATGCAGCGCTGTCTGCCAGATTCTACTGGAGCGTTGTGATTTAAGCCAGGGGAAAGAGTCTTTGTCGATGGCGATGAACAAGCTTGTTTGTAAGACGGTGTCATCACTTCTTACAGTGAACTCTCTACTTCTGAAGCTGATACATTTCCAGGCAAGTTTTTCCCTATCCCGTTTCATTCTACAATGCACATTTCGAAATATTTTGCAGGGATATGATTCAACGCGTATACCGGTGATGCTAGAGCATGTCCCTGCAATGGTCCACTGCCTTGATTTTCTAGACGAGTTATTACAACAGCAGCAGCAACACAAACAAGTTTTTGCCATCCTTCTCGCCTCGCACGTCACTCGCTGCTATCCCGAAGCCAATCTAAGCTTCCAAGTGGCAGAGAGGGTAGGCAATTATCCACACATTGTTTTCATTGATACAAGCAATCTGTGTTGTGTGCCTCAGGTAGTCTCTCATGTCACATACATCCTGTCCAAGGTCGCTGGCAGCAGCGAGTTCTTAGCGCAGATTTTGCAACCCGTCGCAGAGATTGCCACCACCTTCCCTGTGCTCGCTCCAAAAGTGGTGGCCATCTTACAGTCGTGTAGTCGAGCTGGAGCTTCGTTGAAGGCAGGAGGCCCTCCTCGAGACGCCAAGCTCGAGGCGGCCGCAGTGGGAGCTCTCGGCCTTGTGGTGGGAACTTGACCAAGCGAAAAGAAAGAGCTAAAGCGACTGGAATCGCAAAGCAAAGCTCCAGAGACAAGGATGCATTTGTTAAGCAAAGGAGGCAGCTCTTTCTAAATGCCTGATTATGTGTAAGCAAGACAGCTCCAAGATGGAAAGTCTGTCTTTCTTTAACTCCAAAGTAGGTCACAATTCAACACCAAAGATGCGCTGCAAATGAACAAATACAGGAAAAGAGTGGATCAGTGGCCATCCGACAACTTGTGCAATGAAGGGCTGTAGGGCAAGGGCAAGGGAGTGTCAGGTGGTCATCTCTTCCTCCAACGAAGGGACTCGATCCTTTGTGAGGATCTTACAACGGTTCATCTATATTCCACATGGCCAGCAATATAAGACGACACTTGCAGCCACATCTGGCATAAGAAACTATTCTTTTT